AACATGGTATTGAGGGTTTCTTATTTTCTTTCTTCCTTCACCAGCAAATAACTCTGGCCAAACAAATGGAGAGCTTCATATTTCAACTTTTCATCCATACTTTCCTGAAGCTGCATTTTTTGGTCTTCATCTTAGGTATTGGCAGTTACTGATGTACTATGGGAACAGGTTTGTGCACAACATGGTAAGAAGAAACACACAACTTTGAAAATAGCTTCAATTTTTCTGTAGATGACTGCATAAATAATCCACACAATAATTTGACAATCATTTATTAAACACCTACTGTGTGCGCAGGACTGTACTAGGCACTAAGGGGTGTAGATACAAATGTAAAAGTTACTATACCTGCCCTCAAGGAGCTTACAATTTAATTTCGAAAATAAATACAAATATGAAACTACAATACAGAGTGCTATAAAATGATTACATAGCAACATATTAGTAAGTGCATGGACCACAGTTTAAAGGATAAGTGCTGGACAGCATAGAATAAGGGAGGTCTCAGTGTGAGGTGATATCAGTCATGGATAGCTCACTCAGAAGACACAAAAGAAGTTAGGTTTTGAAGGGAGTGATGAACATGAGGAGGGGCCAAAGAGAAATCTTAGCAAAAAGAAAAGCATGAGAAAGGCACAGAGGCAAGGGCTTGTAAGACAACACTGGAAGGCCGCAGGAAGTGTGAACATGATGAATCAAGATGAATATGCTAGAGAATGAGTCTGAGGCAGATCAAGCATGGAGGGCATGATAATGGAGAACTTGGAACACCAATGCTCTGACAACAATTATCTGCTTGGTATTCTTGAGTTAAAGTTAGACATCAGGAAAATGAACTTCTGAGGGGGATCACCTCGGAAACATACAAGATGGGGATCTTGACAGCCAGGAAACTAATTGGAAAGAATTATATTTGGGCCTCAGATGACATGGATCTGCACAGAGAGCTATGAGGCTATAGTAAAATGTAAAAGATCCAGCCTCAAGGAAAAAACTGACTTTGAACAACTTAGCAAGATTCTGGACATGTACAGTGGAGAATAGAAAAGAATAAAAGGTAAGGCCAAGATTAGTTTAATAAATACAAAGGGTTTTTGTATTTATATATGGTTTTGTATTTATATATGAACCCTAATTCAACGTAAAGAAGTTAAGCATTGATGGCCATTTAAAAAGAAAATGGGGATGCGGGGACAAGAGTAATGAATTCTGTTTTCAAATACCAAGTTATGTGTGTACTGGTAGAAAAGTCCACAAGTAAAGAGATGACCCAAAAGGTGAAAAATCTTAAGTTACTGAAATATAGATAGTAAGTATAAATAATCAAAATATACAAGTAGGAGTGAATACAGAAAAAGTAGTGAATACAATTAAGACATATGTATTATTCTCAGTGAAGAGGAGGAGAAAAAGGACTAATAAAGAAAAACTAGAAATTGGAGGAAAATGACCAAAAAAGGAATCCCACAAGCTGAAAGAAGAAAATTCCTGAGATTCAGGGGAAATTCAACAGTGTGAAATATAGATCAAGTACAAGAACTAAGAAAAGGCATTAATATGATGACCCAAAAGGTGAAAAATCTTAAGTTACTGAAATATAGATAGTAAGTATAAATAATCAAAATATACAAGTAGGAGTGAATACAGAAAAAGTAGTGAATACAATTAAGACATATGTATTATTCTCAGTGAAGAGGAGAAAAAGGACTAATAAAGAAAAACTAGAAATTGGAGGAAAATGACCAAAAAAGGAATCCCACAAGCTGAAAGAAGAAAATTCCTGAGATTCAGGGGAAATTCAACAGTGTGAAATATAGATCAAGTACAAGAACTAAGAAAAGGCATTAATATTTAGTTTAGCCACAGGATATTTCAGTGGATTGGTGAGGACAGAGCCACTAAGGAGAAGTTTCAAGAATAGATCAATAAGGAACTGAGGTTGAACAATGGATGACATGTTTGAAAAACCATGAATGATAGATGAAAAATAAAATGGTAGCTGGAAAGGAAAGTGAAGTTGAAAGTTTTCTACATTTTATGCTGTAGATTAACTTAATATTGTTATCCTAACTGTCCATCCACCTGGCCTTGCATTAATATTTCATTTCTTTCCACAATTCTACTTTCCCTGAAGCAGTTTAGATAGAAATGTATTTGAATCTGTAAGTTATTGCTTCATCCTCCCAGTTTCTCTTTTAAACACATTTTAATGCACAATAATTTAGTTTCCTAGAACTACAAAGCATCAACAGTATCAAACATTTAAAGATATGAACCAAAATGACATTTTCAACCAATTTCCCAGTAATCATAATGGATTTGTACTCTACTGTACACTCTCTTCCCCAGTACCTCTTATGACTGGGGATACATAATTTTTAAACAGCTGGCCAGGGTTAGGGTGTTCATTAGAGATATTGTAGCACAGTGGTCAGGAGCATAGGCTTCTGAACAGGTTAGAATCTCTACTCTACCACTTACCAGCTATGTGACCTTGGTTAACTCATTCAGCTCTCTGAGACTCAGTTTCCTCATCTATAAAATGGGAGACAATTTTATAAAAATAATACCTATCATAAGCTTATAAATACTTAACATAGGGTTTGGCATGCAGTATGTGCTCAACTGTCAGCTATTATCATTCATAGCCTCAGAACCAAGAGTAAAGCTACCTGCTCTGTATGCGAATCAACCAACACATTCTAGCACTGCCCCCTTGGCTCAATGGAGAAAATCTTTGAAACCTAAGATGCCTCTCCTAGGACTATGTTGGATGGTAGCAGTTATGGAAGAACACTTTATCATGCCAAGCCCTAAAATGAGAAGCTGAGGATGGGAGAAGAAAGTATTGGTAAACAGTTCATTCCATATTAAGAGCATAAAAATAGAATCTGTAGAATAAAGGAACCTAGTGCATGTAATCCACAGTTAAGAGTTCAAAATAAGGTCCTATAGATTGACCTACAATACTATAATGCTAACAGAACTAGAAACCAAAAATGGATTTCTGCTTATGCTCCCAAAGAAACAATAGCCTTTTTCTGATATGTTATACTACCTGGCTGTTTCTATATATAGAGTAAGATACGATGACAGTTTTTCAAAGTTACAATCTTTTCTCACATTCATACCAGTGTAACATTGATCTTTCTGGTCGTATTTTCTTTTATCTGAATTTCTACCAGATGCTTAGTAATTCTAATATTTAAGTAATCTCGTTACACATTATTCTGAGTAGAGATGTTAGCTGGTCTATCTAGTCATTTCAATATATTGCTCTACTAAAAGCTTTCACTAAAAGCCATATGGGAGAAACGTGTGTGTGTGTGTGTGTGTGTGTGTGTGTGTGTGTGTATACACATGGCAGAAACGTGTGTGTGTGTGTGTGTGTGTGTGTGTGTGTGTACACATGGCACACATCTAATTTCCCTCTGACAGTGTACCCATCCTATGTAATATCTGCACACAGGTAGCACCTGCTTCAGGAACAATTAATATCTTATAGAGGGTAAGGCACAGAGATGACCAGATTTGTTTCTGGTTTCTTGAAATTTCAAGCATAAGGGAATTAAGAATAATAATCTATATGGAAAAAAAGAAAAGAAAGAAAAAAGAACAAAGGAAGGGAGGGTAAGAAGATAAAGGATAATGGAAAGCACTGGTTTGAAAAAGTTAACCAAGGAAACCAAGATGACAAATGACAATGGCTCAATGACACAGGTGTAGATAACCTTGATGTTGTTAGTAGTCAAGGTGGGCCCTGGAGGGGTAAAGAAGGGATATTAGAGGGAAGGAATTTATAATCTAAAAGGTGGACCTCTATAATGTAAGATTTTATGATTGATTTTTAAAAACATCAATCATAAAACATGACTCATAAATGTTACCCCTGTACAGGATAGTCAGTGTGAAGTTGTGTTCATCAGAACATATATTACATTCTGAATAGGATTAATGGAAAACCGATTTTGAAAGCCGATTTTGGAAATAACCATGTTACTCAATCCCAAATCTGGTGAATAAATGAGTAATCAAATGGCCAAAAATGAGATGTGATTCCAGATTAATAGTTTTCTTGTATGGTTTATTAAATGGGGATTTTGAATTGTTCCAAATATTTGAAGGAATGGTAGTACTATTGGAATAACAGCAGTACCTGAATAACTAGAATTGGCCAAAGGACAACCATGTTTAGATGCTTAAGTTCTGGTGTGTTACTTGAAACCAGCCTCAATACTTTATACAATATTCCTTGGTATACTGAAAGCCTCAAAAATGAAATACAGTACCTGGTGATAATGAGTTTTATATTGTCTTTGTTGGATTACAGATGTACTCCATAGTTCACCAGAATTCAGAAGAATGTAGAATTGTGAGGTGAAGAATTTAACAGATTACCACTGTGGATATATAAAACTAATGGCAAGAAACAGATGGCAAACTGAGTGAGGTGCTGAAGCCATCCAAGGAGGTGGACTGAGGGTAGTAACAAGAGTGACAGACATCTAGTCAGGAAGTTTGTGCACACTGATGGGAACCTGAGAGAGCAGTACTGAAATGGGCCAAAGGGATGTGTACGCATTCTCTGCAAGGGTTTTTATGACTTCTTCAAGCACCTCGGTCTCCTCTCTCCCATGTGATGTCCTAACTGGGACAGTGTAAATATCTATTTGTACCACAGCCTAGAATGGGAAGATGGAAAGAAGAGACAGAAGTCACCCCAAGATACAACCACCCAAGCTCAAGAGCAGCCAGGCTGAGTCTCCACTCACCTCTTTCTCTGCATCATTCCCACAACCAGCACTAATGTGTCCACTTCCTTTGCTGACAGGTACTGGGATGGGGGTGGTGAAGGAAACGTATGGATGCTCAATGACTCAGTGGAGTCAGTGAAGGTGATATATGAAGAAAAATGCTGGTGCGCTGTTAAAAATATAGCATTCAGAGTTTGCATGGGAATATGGATTTCTGCTATCAGGAACATTAGAATAAAATACAAATACACACTTAAGCATAAATACATTAAGTGTCTGTAAAAATTTCCCTAGAACTAGCATCTTAGAAAGCTATATACAAATATGTCTCACACAGAGGCTGCTTAGAACTCTAAAGCAGCTTCTTAGATCAGATTAGGTGGATAAGTGCACCTTCAGGAGAATAAATGGGAGAAGGGGATCACAGGAGATGGGAAGCAGAGAAACTAGGAGTAGCCTCTCTTAAACCTACAGCTACCCACCCAAAGACAAAGTTAAGTGCCTTGAGGAACAACAAGCAACTTGCTCTAAAGCTATTTTAGGTTTCTAAAGGATACATTAGACCCTTGGGGAGCTCCACTCCATCAGATACCTCCCAAGACAGTCAAGCTACTCAACCTACAGCAAGGCACTGCGCCCAAACTACTGAAGAGCTACTCTCTCTGCCACCACTATTAATTCTGACCCCAAGTAAGGCTGCAATGACGACAAACTTTCCACCTTTTTATTACACTGAAAGACCTCTCACTGGAATGTGGTTTCTCTAATGCTGAATAATGCCCAAACTATGACAAGTTTTTACCTAAACTCCCACAGATTCAGACTTTTCTCCACTGTGAATTCTCTGATGTCGAATGAGACTCGACCTCTGAATAAAAGCTTTCCCACACTCATTACATTGATAGGGTTTTTCCCCTGTATGAATTCTCAGATGCTGAATGAGGCCAGTGTTCCCATTGAAAGCTTTCCCACATTCTTTACATTTATAGGGTCTTTCTCCAGTGTGGATTCTCTGATGTTCAATAAGGCCTGATTTCTGACTGAAGGCCCTCCCACACTCATTGCATTTGTAGGGTTTTTCCCCAGTATGGCTTCTCTGATGGCCAATAAGATGTGAGCTCCGCCTGAAGGTTTTCCCACACTCATCACACTCATAGGGCTTCTCCCCAGTGTGGATTCTCTGGTGTCCAATGAGGTGTGAGCTATGACTGAAAGCTTTCCCACATTCATTACATTCATAAGGTCTCTCCCCACTGTGGATTCTCTGGTGCAGAATAAGGCCTGCACTCTGACTGAAAGCCTTCCCACACTGATTGCACTGATACGGCTTCTCCCCAGTATGGATTCTCTGGTGCAGGATCAGGCCTGTGTTTTGACTGAAGGCTTTACCACACTCCTTACAGTGATAGCGTTTTACTTTGTTGTGGATATCCTGATGGGAAAGAAGGGCTGACCTGTAACTGAAGGCTTTACCACATACATTACACTGATAGGGTTTCTCCCCAGTGTGGATTCTCCAATGGCGAACAAGGCCTGAACTCTGAGCAAAGCTCTTCCCACATTCATCACATTTATGTCGTCTCTCTTGGGTGGGATTTCCCAGCTGCCTCTCTAATCTGCCCATGTCTCGGGTTTCTCCATGCTCAAGACCCCCGATAACATCCCCGTTGCATTTGGCAGCTGTCTCTCCATGTGGTTGGATTCCAGAAGATATTACCTGTTTTGAAGCTAACTCCCTGTTCTCATTCCTGGTCTCACCACCTGAAATAAAAATGTAAACATCAAGCCAATGTCACTTCCTATTCTCTATGTTAGCAGAAAGTAACTGAAGATAGGGAAAAGGAAAACACACATCTAACAGTTACAAGTGAATGCAAAGCTTCCATATGTCTCCAAAATGCTTTTACAAGATGGGGAGATAAGAGCAAGGGCAAAGAGATGTACCATAGGCCATCTGGATAAGAGCCATGAAAAAAAAGGGTTGTTGGAAGGAAGACTAAAGTAGGGAAGGGACCAACTGAGAAGTGGAAATTGGAAGTGGAAAGGATGTTGCTACTACTGAAAAATCTAGTGAATGGGACAGAAATGGAAAAAAGCCCGTTATTAAGAAGGAGCACAAATAGTCTAAGTGACAGAAATCCATGTAACTACCTTATAGGAACTGGGAGCAAAGGAAATGAGTGAACTCAGCAATAAAAGATTTCAATTTCAAACTGGCAAACAGCAATACTCAGTTACAAACTGTCAAGTAAGTCCTGGATTGGAGAATAGAAGTTTCATTTTAGACTTTGAGAAGTCTCAACACTGTATCTTTCCACTGGATCCTGAGTTTAAACTCAACTGTGTCTTTCAGAAAGCTCACAGCTACCATACGCACATAACAAATAAAAAAATCTTAAATAATAATAGCAAGAGCTCTCCTTACCCAGGGAGAACAAGTTTCTGTAGTTCTCTGGCCTGTTATCTCTACTCAGATCCTTCTGTGATGGATCAAGAAGCCACTCCTCTTGAATTAGGGACACAGCCATGTCTTCAATTTTCTCCAAACTCTGAAACAAAACAAGATCCCCATTTGGGACTGGGACTGTTCCACAGCTCAAACCTTGAGTGTCAGAGGTTCCAACCAGCATTAAGAGGTGGGAATGTACTGTTTAAAGGGATCTGAATAGCCAGGAAAAAGGGGAAAATGAACCAGATTTACTGGGGGTAAATCAAGGATGGATCTGTCCCTGTGCAAAAAAGGTTGGGGCAAGTTCTTGATGGGTATTGCTACAGATAATGCAGACATGCGGCAGATGCCACAAACACTGCCAAGTAGAGCTCTGGGGTTTCAGTGAAAAGGAGTACAACTCACCTGGAACCCTGCTGTAAGAAGTGTAGCTGTCATCTCCTGGTCTCCAGGACTTTCTTTCTGGGAAGGGGTAGGACTCTGAGAAGTAGATATGGCTGAGAGAGAAGAGAGGAACTATGAGTAAGACACAGCCATATACTACAGTTGTGGGAGCCAACATTCAACCATTCCAAAATAATTTCTATTTCAGTAGATACACATGCCAGAGATTTTGCATATAAAATGCTCCTTTCTGGGCTCTGGGTCCATAACTATGGCTACCCACAAAACATCTGCACTTTGGTGTCCCACTCAGCCTGAAGTTTCATATAAAAAATATAGTGTACTGGTTTTTTTAATAGGAATTGCTTCACTATTTTCTCCCTTGTGTTTGTGCATAGTATTTCTTTAGGTCCTGATCTCTTGGCAAACTGAATATGAGAACCAATCTACCTCTATTACCTTTCTGAAATATCTACAATGACTGCCAGTATGTGCTTCCTATAGATATCAGAGAGTACAATCCCAAAATCAACACAGATTACTGTGTCCTGGATAATAAACTCTAGAACTTTAGACAAAAATTATATTAATTGAAGATGTTTCTACACTTCTTTTTTAGAAATACCAAAAATCCATTTATATACAACTACTATAAATGACATAAATGAAAAAATAAGAAATGCAGGACAAGTAGCAAATGAACATCACTTCTGGGATGTTCCTGCCAAATATATACAACTTGAGTCTAAATATGAGGCAATGTCACACAAACCCAAACTTCAGCAAGCAGGAACAAGTACATCTTGTTCTCCAAGAAAAGTTAGTTCTCAAAAAATTATGGGGAAGTGTCAAATGGACACAGGATCCAGACCGAAGGGCCTTCTCTGGCCAAATCTGAGACAATTTACACATTGAAATAAAGATAGTAATATAATATTTCTGGAATAAAATGAGAATTTATGAGTCCATACTAATAAAAAATAAAATGGCTAGAAGGGAATACTCTCCATTATAAAAACAAATGTAGAAGGAATGACAGAAAATTATCATTTTTTAATGTCATTTTCACTGATTGAGACAAGAAGCATCAATGAATACTAAAACTAGTGCTTTAGCAACAAAAGTTTGATGAGGACCAGGATATCTACAGATTAAAGAGTCTCTACCCACAAATTAATTGTTAATTATAAAGCAAAAAAACTTTACAATGATTAATTTAGCCAACAATTAATCTAACCTACAAAGGTAACTTTAACCAAGTTATGAAAGAGAACATCACCAGCCACAGGAAAAATTCCTGTTGTATCCTTGAGAAGGACACAACATCACTTCTAGGATGCTTCCACCAAATACAACTTGAATCTAAACATAAGGAAACATCAAACACAAATTGCAGCCATTCTACTGACCTGTACTCTTCAAAAATGTCAAAATCATGAAAGGCAAAGAAAGGCTGAAGAACTGTTCCAATTTAGGACCCTAAAGATATATGACAACTAATTGCAAAGTATAATCCTGAATTGGACTCTGGAAGAACATTACTGGCACAAGTGGCAAAATATGAATAGGAACTATGGACCAGATTAGTATCAGTGTCACATTTCCTAACTATGATAAATTTACTGTGGTTACCTAAGAAAATTGCCCTTGTTTGAGGAAATACATACTGAAATACAAATAAAGTGGCAAATTCACACCTAGATCGACATTGTATAACAAATATGTGAATACATAAAAATCCTCAAATTCTCTAATTTGTTCACTGGGACTGACAGTCTGTATTTGAAGCCTCAATAAACATTTAAACCTAGATCTTAGGACACTTTTGTAAACAGTGATTCTAGCTCCTGGACTAGATAGGTGTCTCCAATTTACTTTCTTTTATTTCCACTTCCCCACTGCTCATCACTGAAATACGGCCCCTCACCTCTCTCTGGTGGCCCCTGGGGGACTGGAGATTTGTGCTGGGTTGTCACAGGTTGGAGCTGAGTATTCGGAGGCTCTGGTGTGGATTCTGAATGTACCACCTCCTCCCAGATTACCCTATGTCCATGTGCATGAGTTGGGACCTGGAAACAATAGGACAGCTGCATTACAAGGAATTCTTCATTATAAGAAATGAAGTGAGCAATGGTTAAGAGGACCAAGAGCACATCTACAGGGATACATGCTTGGAAAGGAAGCAACAGACCCTCATTTACTTCCTAGGGGCAGTAAAGAATTCAAGTTCATGTTGATTAGCACAGAAAGGCATAATTTCTGCTCAGTACTGAAGGAAAATATTCCTGGTGATGCCCTCCCAGCTGCACCTAAAACCAGTATTTTGCACTCCCAAGGTATGGGGAAAACAATGAAGGAAATTTAAAGCAGTGCAGTTCACTGGAAAAGACTTATTATAAGGAATCAAGAAACCTGAGTTTCAGTCTCAGATCTACCTCTATTTGGGGGTCCCTGAAAAAGTAACTTAAGCTCTCTATGCATCAATTTCTCAACTGCCAGAAAGAGCAATATGTTTGTAGGGATGTTATGAAGATAAATAGCATTATAATCTTTACAAAAATAATAATTCTGCAAATACAAGCCATAATACACGATATTTTCATCCCCTTAAAACAGAAACTGATGCCCAGTATTTAGTCTCCCATTGTGGTGCCAATGTCCCTCCACCCAGCTTGCAGAACTCCCAGTCACAGCAGGCACACCTCCTCCTACTTACTGGCTGTCCTAGTATATCAATCTGCCTTTCCAAATCCTCCAATAGGGTCACCAACTTCTCTCCATTCTCTAGCTGATGTTCCTTAACCAGAGACTGGAGCTCCTCAGGCAGGATGGTCAGGAACTGCTCCAGCACCAGCAGCTCCAGGATCTGCTCCTTAGTATTCAAATCTGGCCTCAGCCACTGATGGCAAAGTGCCCGGAGTTGGATCAGAGCTTCTCGGGGTCCCAATGTCTCCTGGTAGCATAACTTCCTGAAGCGCAAGCGAAAAAGCTCTTGGCCAGGAGGGTTATTTTCATGCAGACTGGATTCTTGGTCCCAACCATGATCTTCTTCTACCTTGACGATTACAAGGTCCTCTTCGGGAGCCTGGTTTGGTGGGGATGGGACTAAAGACTTTCTTGATTCTGCAGCCATTTAGGGCTGGAAAAGCTCAGGAGGCTTGTTTCCACTACCTTCTTTTTATTCTTTACAGATTTCCAAGGGCCTCTTTTCTAAGGGTACTTTTCAGGGAAGAGAAAATGACAAATAGTGTGAAGGCAAGTGAAAGGTCACCATAATTTACTAAAACATCTTAACAAGCTCCATACTGTGACATGGACTTAATGGCTCTGTCATTTAAGTGATTCCCTCTACTGCTCCAGAAGTAACTCCTTACTTCCTTAGCCTTCTGCCATTGTCAAACCCTGGAGAATAACCCCTTCCTTCTGCTTTCTCTCCTTGGAGACATGGAACATGGCTCAACAAACTCAAGAAACCATGTTAAGACCGGGTCTAACTGAAAGTCTGCTTTAACCTCAGCTAGCCCTCATTGCTGCTGATATAACTCTGTTCAGTTTGCTACACATGCTGTACTGTCTATACACTTCCAGTCTCAAACTGTCCCTCACACTCAACAGATAAAAATAATGAAAATAATTTCCATATAGTCTGGCTCAAGGTATTGCCAAGTTCATTATCCTATCTGTGCTCCCCACTTTCCCTTCTGACTCAAGGCTAACTTCTGTAATGAACCTCATTCAAACTCTGGAACTAGAACTCTCTGTGCAGCACTGATCCTGTATCTATAAGGAACTGGGATGCCCTGTCAACAACAGCAACCCAAAAATCTACTCCCATGCACTAATGACCTTCCAAATGATTTTATAAAATCATACACTATTAGGGATTAAAGATGGCTGCATGAGAGGAGAGACAGAGGCTTCCTCCTAAAACTGGATACAATTAGAAAATTTAATTGGTGCAACTAATCCTGAGAGAGCAACAGGAAAGAGGACGGCATCAGACTGCACACACCTGGAGAAAAGAGCAGACCTCACCGAATGGGGTAACATACCAGAGCTGTGGCTCCGCAGGACCTGGGCCCCTCCCCCACCCCAGCTCACCGGTGGGAGGAAGACAAACAGAGCAGGGAGGGAGTGGAAGGCTTGGGACTGCTGAATACCTAGCTCTGGAGATCTGCTCTGGGAGCACAAACCTACATTTCATGGTGCTTTAATGAGACTCGCATAACTACTGGGTTGGAAAGTTAATACAGGCAGAGTTCCTGGGGAGACTGGGATTCTGGCTG